GACTGCACAGGTCTTTCCAAACAATACATTGATGCACATGTGCACCCTTCAGTGAATATTCATTTTCAAAGGAGTTGTTTATAACCTGATAAGATGTATAACCTTAGCCCAACTTTATTGAGAATGAACTTCAGGGAAAAATGTTGAGCCAGAAAAAGTTGGCTAGCTTTTTTTACAAAACAGGCTGCAAAACAGGCTGCAACGTGATGAACATAATTAAGTCTGTTAGGAATTGTCCCTTGTAACTTTTCCTATAAGATGTAAGTACATGTATAATAATATCAATAGAGGAATACATAAATTGTATTAATAAAGAAATACGTAAATAGTATCAATGAATTAAGAGACAAGAAGGGCTCCTTCTAATCAAAGCTCTTGTATATTAGTCTTGGTAGTGGAATGGTAGTGGGCCCCTTTTTACATATTAGATCTATACACTTAATAATTCGTCTTTGTTGCAACAATTATTAGACTGGGTTGCCATGCCTAGGCTTCCCATGCCTAAACTCCCCAGGGGGAGTCCCACTAAATTGCTATCAACCTAACCAGCTTAAATGTCTGTCATGCCTACTGAATCAGTTAGGGTAAAGATAATTACCCCTTAGCAGCTTTACCTTTCGTGACAGACATTTAACCCGGTTAAGTTGATAACAATTTAATGAGACTCCCCAGGGGGATAGATTAATCCAAATATCTGTGGGAATGGTCCCTTAGACAGTGGGTCTCATTTGCGTACAGTTTGTTATAGCTAATTTTCTCAAAATAAGAACATACTGAGATACCTATTATATGCCCTTTCCTAAAATTATGAGGATATATGTAATTAGCTGTTCATATCACTTGGTGTCAATTATATGATATACTTACTTGCTGTATGTTAAGGGTCTACCCTGTATTTGCTGAATCATTGGTGTAACCAGGTAAATCTTTGATCAAGCGTTTACTTTGAAATAAGTATTCTCTGCTGTCTTTTTATTTGTACAAGGCAAATGTTTTTATGGCTGAATTTTGAGCACATTACAACTTTTATATATCCTTCTAATATCCACTTCTATGAAGTTGTTTGTATAGTTGTCAGTATCTTTTATATTAAGGTACAGGTATATGAGATGAAAAAGTAAAATTTCATTTTGCTTCTTTTACAGAACCATCAATCAGTAGTATGACTCTACCAAAAATATATGGTCCATTTCTTAAGAGGTAGAGATAAGTGTCAGGGCTTGGCATATCAAAACTGTCAGTGGTTCTAACTATCTGTCATGCAGTGCTTTTTTTGGGGAAAGGAAAGAGAAAGCTTTTGATATATACATTTATTATGGCAAAAGTGCCTTCATACTTTTAGAGGTTTTCTCCTGTCTTGTAACAGTCTTCGAAGTTGCAGAAATGATATCAAGAGTACTGGAATGATTTTTTTCTTATCTTTATAGCCAAAAGGAAGCTAGTGGTGGCAGAGGCCAGGTAAAACATTTTGCTAGTCAAACACCAGTAAGCAGAACATGCCTCCTACCTGAAATGCTCTGAATTTGCATATTAAAGGATCAAATTATCAAACAACAATTCACAGACCTGCTTCTTAGCAGTGGATTGAAGCACTGCGCCTTAATGGACAAGGAAACTCAAGAATTAAAATAAAGTGGATGACCAAGCCTCTGAAAGTGTATTGCTATCCGTTAGTTGCAAGTGTGAATTAAGTTTCTTAATGTGATTCCAAAGGTATTCATGCCATGTGTAGAAATTGTCACTGATGCCTGTCGTTTCAAAAATTGCACAAACAAAACTGAAAAGCGGAGGGTTGCTAGTGGATCAGAAGAAGAATATGACACTAAATCTAACTCTTATTTGTAAATAATAATCAAAAATAACACAGAAAGTTATATTTTCACAGGGAAAACAAAACATAAAGGCCTTGCTCAGTGTGGGCTGAAATTTCTTTTAATATGCTGTAGTTATTGGACAATGGTGTAATTAATTAAAATAAGACCTTTTTAAATTAAACCTCTGCAATTGAAGATATATACTTGAATAGAAAAACTTCTATAATTTTACAATTTATATTTTAAATAATTTCATGACCCGCACGAAAACGCAGTCAGTAGATATACTCCAGCGCAGTAGACTACTGTAGTCATACTGCAAACATGCCTCAAATCTGCTTCGATTTGGGAGCTAATTAGCATGTTTTAAACATGCTTCTATCATGCTGCTTATCTACTGCATAAATGCTCCTCTCCTACAAACCTATGTACTTTTTGGAGTAGAATTGCTGTAGGCTATGCCGCATTTCTGCTGCAAATATGCTTCTTTGCTACTTCGATACTACTGCATTTCCGCGCAGCTACATAAACAGCTAGACAACCTCTAAGATCAATGCTTGTAAACCCTACGTATGGATTTATATTACATTTATCTGTATGAAATATGGATTCAGCTACTTGTCAAGTTATTATGTGTATTTTGACATATCTTAGCAATTAAGAGCATTCAATCTTACAGTACAGGACATAGGTGATGTTATGACCACAATATAGTGTAGTAGTGTGAACTAGTGCGATTGTTGTAAAAGTGACACGATACAAACGGGCTGTACAGTAGGTATTTTTTGCCGTGAATTCATGCCATCTTTTAGCAAATTACGTAAATACATATATTTCTAAAATTTCTTCACATTTCTCTCAATACTGACATCGGTTTTAAAAACCTTGGACGTATTTTTTATTGAAACTACGCGTGGGAATCTTTTATAAAATCTGCAAGCTTCGCGTGGAAATTCATTATTCACATCGATCAGATGTAGGTCAAGTGATCACGTGACTCCCTTTCCTTTGCTTTGATTGGTTTAAAGGGTCGAACGGCAGGGCTATTCGTTTTGATATTTCGACATAAATACTATCGCGATTATCTATATGTTGGCACATCTTTCTGATAAAGAACAGACTGGGTTCTTAAAAGGGAGATACATATAGGGGAAAATACTCGTTTAATCTATGATCTCAGGCAATATACTGAGAAAAACCATATACCTGGAATATTACTTCTAATAGATTTTGAGAAAGCATTCGATGGTATATCTTGGAACTTTCTAAATCAGGTTCTTATCATTTTTTTTTTTTTATTTCGGTCCAGACATAATAAATTACATTAAAAAATGTTTATAAAAAATATTGCTTCAAGAGTAAATCAAGGAGGTCATTTATCCGAAATGTTTCAACTGCAGCGTGGCCTGAAACAAGGTGATCCGATATCACCATATTTATTTTTGTTATGTTCTGTTCTGAAATTCTTTTAGTAAGCATAAAGAATAACCCTCAAATTAAAGGAATACACATTGGGGAAAATGAATGCAAGATATCGCAATATGCAGATATGACACGTCCATAACCTTAGATGGTTCTGAACAGTCCCTTAACGCCGCCCTAGAGGATGTAAAATGGTTTGAAAAAAAATTCAGGTTTAAAAATAAATTATGACAAGAAGCTTCAACAATGGCATAACAATTAACTTGGGTGAGACGGGTATTTGGCAAAATATCCTTTTGTACAGATATAAATTAGACTTGATGCTAAACTGTGGTTGTGAATATTTGCGCGTCTATCAAACAGGCACACAGAATTTATTTTGGAAGGATGTGTTTTAGCTTGACGGGAATTTTGAAAAAAGAAAAGAAAAAAGAACAAATAACCGAGTTGAATAAAGTCCCATTATGGTACCTGTACAATAACTCTCTTAGTGTAAATAAAGAGACGCTGTTCCATAAAGAGATGTATGACAAAGGATAAAGACAAGTGAATGATCTTATTAATGAAAATGGTAGACTAAATTAATATAAAGAATTTTCTGAACTCGCTAATATTAAAATCAACTTTTTTACAACACAATGGTATTATTGCGACAATAAATGATCTGTACAGAAAAAATGACAATCCGCATAAAATCAAAATGTACGGTCCGTGGCAACATATACGAGTTTTTGTTAGACATACAAGGGGCTCGAAAGATATGTATGACATACTAAATAACTCAAATGCTAAGAATATTTTTGAGGAAAAATGGTCAAATATTTTTACTCCTCGGGATCATAATTTTTGGGAAAAGATATATAAGAAAAGCAATGTGTAAGTAAAGGACACAAAAATACTGTGGTTCCAGTTTCGAATCTTCTATAGAATTCTCACCACAAATAACTTTGTATATAAAACTGGCCTATCTCAATTACTTATGTGCACATTTTGCCACGAGGAGGTAGAAACTATATGCCATATACTTTGGGATTGTGATATTGTACAAAACTTCTTACGCCAAGTAGAAGCGTGGTTAATTTCTTGTAATATATATCATTTTAATAAAATAAACAATGTACGCATAAAGCTTTAATCAAAACACAGGTTATACCTAACAATGTATATTTACGTTCCATCCCAACGACTGAAGTCGTGTCTGTACGTCATTTTGTTGTGCTTCTCCCTCCTCTTCGTCCCACTCTGTTGCGTATGGCTCCAACTAAAAAGGACGAACCACCTGCTTCCTCTCGTCCTCTACTTATATCCCTTTTATGTCGCTGTCTAACTCATAGTCAGATATAAATTTCTACTAACATTGTTAAGTTCTCCTCACTATCGCTGGACAAAAATCGCCACGTCGGATTTCTGAGTCTCACCCACGCTTTTACGTCACACACTTACTGGCCCCAATCTCGCCTTTTGAGACATTGAACTGTTTGACCCATTTTTACAGGTGAGGTTTCACAACTTCAATGCGCTGTAACTAGGTCACAATACCGAGTAGAGAAACCAGGTTTTCACCACGTGGTAGTATAAAGATCGGTCTTATTTCAATTGAAAATAAAAACAATCCACTGCCCTTGCTCTTTTACATTTTCGAGTAAATTCAAGGTGTTAACGCGTGTATAAGACTCGGGTCTAAGACAAAAATAATTTAATTGTTTAATTTAAAATGTAGCATGACTAAATTACGTGATTGAAGAAAACAGACTATTCACCCACCAGGTGTTGTTGTTGTGCCACATCTGACACTAGCATCCTCAGAGTGATCGCATTTGTGTGAGCTCCAACCGCTGTGATTGCAATCTTTGATAGAGGCCTCACTCCCAGTGCAGGCAACTTCATCCATAAGAATGGAACCGGTACCTTGGCCGAAATGAGCACTGGGAATGGAAACAGAGCCACTGGGACTGGAATTTGTAAGCCACGTCAAATTAGTTGACATGATCAGATTTTTTTTCTTTAAAAATAAATAACACTTGTACGATTAAAATGAGTAGCAAATGAAACATAAAATAAACGATGTACTTACTTGTACCCAAGCATTCTGCAGACCACACTGGCATCCAAGTCATCCCAGCCGTCATCACAGACAGTGCCCCATTCACCGTTGTGGAGCACTTCGACTCTGCCCTCACCGGGTCGAGCACTACCAACCAATCTCACTTCAACTGCAAGGAATTCCGAATGACGATCAGTTAAGGTTTCTGTAAGCACTTACCATATATGAAGGTACTGTTTAACACGAAACAGGATATAAAAATCATCTCCAATTCGAAATTCATTTAAACACCATTATGATACCCCCTCGGGCTCATGGCACAAATAAGGTAAATGCAATTTTGTAGCACGACTGAAATTTGTAAATTGAAAAAAAAACACTTTGTTCACCCACCAGGAACTGCTGCGACACATCTGACACTAGCATCCTCAGAGTGATCACAGTCGTGTAACCCCCAACCGTTGTGACTGCAATATTTTATAGAGACCTCACTTCCAGAGCAGACGACTTTATCCATAAGAATGGAACCAGTACCTTGGCCGAAATGAGCGCGGGAAAGGGAAACGGAGCCACTGGTACTTGAATTTGTAAGCCATATTAAATTAGTTGACATGATCAGATTTTTTTTAAATTAATACAACGTTTTTACGATTAAAATGAGTAGCAAATGAAACATAAAATAGAAAAGTACTTACTTGTAACCAAACATTCTGCAGACCACATGGGCATCGTTGTCATCCCAGTCGTCATCACAGACAGTGCCCCATGTGCCGTTGTAGAACACCTCAACTCTCCCCTCACCAGCATGAGAACCACCCACCAATCTCACTTTAACTGCAAAGAATTAAAGATGAATTGCAGCTGACGATCAGTAAAGTTTTACAAAAGTACTTATCATTTACTAACGCACTGTTTCACACAAAACGGGACAGAAAAATCGCGCACAATGGATTTTTAGACGCAAAGAGTGAAAAGGTCATATGATACACGGTGCTTTATGTATGTTTATCGATGATTTTTTAATTGTAAAAAATAATAAAAAATAATAAAAACAGCAGTTTTTCTACACGCCATGTGCCTACAATGGTGTACCCCCCCTCCCCCCAAATTCCAACGCATAAGTGGCCATGGTCATAACCATAATGTCAAATGCCGTCTTTCATTTTGGTTAAGGGGATAACAACTCTAACAACTCTTTTAGCCCAGTCCTATTCAACATCTTCATTGATGATTTAAAAAGTGAACTCTACACAAACAATAGTGCAAAGGAAGTTGAAGGGTTAAAACACATTTTATATGCAGATGACCTAGTCTTGCTATCACAGTCGAAAGAAGGACTTCAAACTCTTCTTAACAACCTTGAAAATTACTGTTAGCAGTGGAAACTAAAAGTTAATGAAAACAAATNCTCACCTGCATATTAAGAGAATGTATATTGTGTAACATTATATAAGTATAATTTTTTTTCTCTCTTTCATTTACTTACTATCATTACTATCTTTTCGTATGTATAATGTATAGTAGTTAGAGAGCCTCTAAATGTAAAAACATTTCAGTGCTCAATAAATTATTATTATTATTATTATTATTTTGGCCAAAGAAGGACTTTACTGGGGTAAACAACACTTTTTCCAGCATGGTTTATTGATACCATTCTACAATAGTTTTATTTTTATTTATTTATTTATTTATTTATTTATTTATTTTATTTCTTTAGCGACCGAAAATTTGCCAAGTCTGGAAGATAATGTACCAGTGTACAAGTAACCTTTTTTTTTTTGGGGGGGGGATAAATACGTGTTCTGATATTTTGCTGCAAAACAAAGTAGAAGTAACAGCTGTTTACGTCAGGTATGCATCTCCCATCATGTTCCCAAGGGCTAGGATTGCATCCGACTGTAAACGAAAATTCGCAAAGGCAATTATTTGTTGGGCATGCTCTATCAATTTGCATAGTTCACATTTCTGTAATACACGTATTTTTTTGGATTGAAATTAATCCTCGATTTATTGGCATTCTTATAGTGCCACGTGTCATAATTTAAGTATTTTAAAGACTACTGTAATTGATGCATTTTCATTCAGAATATTTCTATATATCAGACACTTGTTGATGCGTGCAATTGATGCTCTATTGACTTACTGGAATCCATAGAATAGACGACGACACCAGCCATCAACGCAAGAACAAGGGTGGAGAACATCAACAACCCCATAACCATTGAGCAGAGTCAGTGATGTATGTTTTGTTGCTAAAAAAAAACAAGATTACGACCATGAGTATTATTTGTTAATGCTGGCCAAGGTGTTGGTATGTTTATCCACGTTAGTGCATCTCATCTCCCACGTATGCTTATTCTTATACTTAAATAAAAAAAAAAAACTGCCATCCTTTTTTCGATCTCTGTTATCTTGACAGCCTTTGTAAATGGTCTGTTTATAATCAACCCATTGTGTCCCCTTTCACCGTGTCTATTTCCCCACTAGGTGTTACTGCCACAACCAAACTGATTTCTAAATTCCCTGATGGGGTTGCACGTTCCTTAAATGTGTGTCCACGAGAAAACCAGACCAAATGTAGAAAATGCGGCAAGGTGGGGGTGAACGGATTTACATCATATTTGGTGTGTTTGAACCTTTATATGAACAATATCTGAAGCTGCAATATTTCCTGAAAAAAATCCCTACTTACAGAGATATGGCCAGTGACAATTTGGGGGGTTTATCAACCAAAAATTCTTCTGAAAAACAGGGTTATATTGATTGGCCTTAAAGTTTATACAGGTGTCACTAAATGATTTAGTTTGGTGATATATTATAACCTAAAGATAGGGAATTAAAATGATATACACTTTTTTCACTTTCTTTGTTTCCATGGTAAGAAACCAAGCGTTTTTCTCAGGCCTACAAACCGCATGCTTTTAACACCCCCCTTCTATTTTTGACAATATCTTCATCTTCACAGGTCTTTGGGGTAAAGCGTGTTCAGGACTAACAGATAACTCATCGATCTATTTATACATGGAATCAAAACTTACTGCTGTTCTACAACAGATAGAACTTGACCTAATTTCTTCATTTTTCGTAAATATATCCGGACACATATATCGGCGCACTCAACTTCAGCTATCTCTTTCAAGTCAACAAATGGTTTAAAACACTGTAAGTTGAACTTTTTATTTTCATTTTACCTATTCTAATTTTTTTTCTGGTTAAAACAAGCATCTAACACATTTTAAAATCATGTGAAACTAATGTACTAACGTCAGAACAATACAACGTCATTAGCCAACATGGCGGAAATCGCAGACTGTTTGTTTGCAAATCTTCCTCAACGAAGTCGTATATCATGTGGTTTATACTCTGTCTACAGATATAAAAAAACATGTAATGTATTGAAAAATTGCAACAGAGATATTAACAGTCATCTTCGTCGCGTTTACGTGAAGCAAAACAGCGTGAGTTACGAAAGCAAACTGATTCTTGTCAGGTGTGGATTCTTTTGTCTCTACGACCGCAATTGGACATTTCCAAGTATCTTTGGGAGAATGAATGGGTTACACCATGTGACCAGCACTGGGATATGGGCTTGGTTTGTGCTGGAAACCATCCACACAGGGAAAAACGAGCCTATAACGAAATATGTCATGGGATTAACTTGCAGATGTCAGTGTAGACAAAAAGCCATTTGAATGTACTGGTGCCACTTGGTTCAGGTAAGAAACGGGTTTGTTTGTATTTTAATACAGGCTAAAAGCCAGAAAAAAAGTTCACTCAGAAAAATGATCTAGGTGTAATTTTTTAATGCTAAACGGTCCATTTTTTTTAAAGAAAAATGCCCCCTTTCAAATAATGAAATTACAGCCTAAGGACCTGTGATAATTTTATCTTTTATTTATGTGGGTATTTATGTAGGTTTAATGGTACTTGGGTAAAATAAATTTAAGGGTAACAATTGGAATTAGATTGAAGCTAGGGATGGTCTTGGCAAAATTGCTAGGCTCATCATAATTAATATTCGAAACCATGCCTTACTTATAAAACATGGACAAATGGGATAATAATTTATTTTTCATCAATGTATCAATTAAATTTCAGATAAGTGTTTTCATGTGTCTATAGTAAGCTTTATTTATATTTCAGGCATATTTGAGAAGTGTTATTTGACACACAGTGATCTTATGGTCAGCAAAAGAGTCCAAAGCCTTGCAGAAACTGAAACTAGTGTGGAAATGATGGCTGTTGTAGAAAGGCATGTATGTAAATGAAAGCCACAATATAACAAATGCTGAGGAGATGCATGGGGCCCTAGTTTCTGCAGTTGGAGCCATTTTCTACATCCAGCTATAGACAGACATCTTCCAAACCTGCATGGACTGGAGTGTCCAATTACAACAATTTAGCTTTCTTGATTCCTACAACATGAGAAAAGGTGTCTCCCTTCCTTGAGAAGTTTTAACATGAGTGATACTGATGTTAAAGTTAATTTGGGTTTTTCTGAGGCAAATGTGCCAACTGGGACTATACCAAGCAAGATCACAAACAAGGAGATTTTTTCTTGTCCAGAGAAGTCTTCTCTGAAATCTTTTGCTACCAAGACTGAAGAGGTCTGTAAGGTCTCACTTTTATTATTTGTAATCTCACTGTAAGGTCCTTTTTTTAGACCACAGTTATGAAATGTGCCAAAAAAAAACAGCTTTTGATCAAATTAAAGTCTAGTGGGCCAACAATCTGACTAAAGAAAAACTTAAAGCACATCGGCTGTGAGAGAACTCCACCCTCTTGAATATCTCACTGAGTTACACAATGGATGAGCTTTAAAATCATCTAAACCTTTGAAACTATATTCAAATAAAGTAAAGGAGATTTTACTGAAGGAGTTTAGAAGGGCACAAGAAACAGGCCAGCAGAACCTAGCAATTGTGAGCATGAAGATGAGATTGAAATGTCAGTAAGGAGGGTTACAGACTATTCAGGAAGAAAAAATCGGCAGTTATTTTTGAATGTATTAAAAACTTTGATGTTATGAGCTGTAATGTTTGATATAAAACTGCAAAGATGTTTCATAACACCAGGATATATTTTGTGGTTGTGTTAGTTTTGCTTTTTGTTTTGCTACATTATGATATAGTTTGTAATGATCACAACTAATGTTGCACTGCTTTGCATGTATTGCTGTATTATAATTTTGCGATTTTTTTATTATTTGTAATTATTCATCTGAGACAACAATAAACTAAATTGAATACTTTTTTAGTTACTGCATGCTCATAAATAGTCACCAAACAGTGGTGTGGATTATTTAAAAAAAATCTTGATAATTAAAAAAGATTTGTTCTGGCTTTGCTCTCATAAATACTATGGCATATCCTGATCTCTATATGATAAATATTGCACCAAAAAGAAATCACTACTAAACTAAGATTTTTATTTGTATTCACCAAATTGATGATATTAAAAAAAAAAAAAAAAAAATATATATATATATATATATATATATATATATATATTAAAATTATCATGTAAACTCTCAAGTTAATTGCCAGTGCCCATCCAAAGTAACAGAATCTAAGATTTATTTCCTCTAAACTTTTTGTCCATACAAATTAAAAAGTCCATATATGGCAATTTACAAACATGAAGCCCAGTGACCTTGACCTACGACCCACTGACCTGATATTCATTAGAACACATCCACTTTCCATGCTCACCAGCCCTATTAATTTAGTAACATCATTGTAGAGCAAAATGGTTTAATAAATTAATCAAACCCATTGTCTACATAGACTTGAATGAATCCACCACGATTTTTTGCCTTAAAAATGGCCAACTTTGGGGGTATTTTTCAGTACCTGTTTTAATACAGCAGTAACTTTTGAAACTTGATTTGGAGTGATCCATATCTGCCTAAAATATTCATGCAGTTTTATAGCTGTAAACCCTGTGAAGATGGAGATATATGCAATTAAAGATGGCAGTATCAAAATTAGACTTTGGGGGGAGGGGTGTTCTAAATAGGTGTGGCTCGCCCAAGCAGGGTCTTATCTGAATTCTACATATATCTGTGGCAAGCCAAATTATTGTTTTCAATGTTTGTAAGGTATACCATTTTTTAGTTTTCTCCATTTTTGTTTTATTAACACAAAATATATCATTATTTTTCCAAGGTAAAAATGGTGTCTCAAAGAGGCTACATAAGCCATGACTTATAACAGGCTATAATTCTCTGAAGAAAGGATATTTTTGGGATTCCTTTTTGGGATTCCTTCCTAACTCACGAATAACTTCCTAATATGCCTCCATAAAACAAATTTGGTTGAAATCCGCTGACCCCCACCTTGCCACCCTGGGCTGGTTCTCTCGTGGACAAGCTTTTAATCTTACGGACCATTCCCAGACCCTAACGAACTAACTGTGGATCTATCTATCTCCGAGGGGATTCTCGCTAAATTGCAATCAACTTAAGCGGTTTAGATGTCTGTCACACTTACTGAATCTACTAGAGGGTAATAAATTAACGTTTATCAGCTTCAGTAAGCGTGAAAGACATGTAAGCCACTTAAGCTGATAGCATTTTAGCGGGATGGAACAATCTTGTAAGATCGATCTAGCTATGGGTACAAAATGATGGAATATTTTCTTTGAAAATTCATGTTTCGCCTCTGTTAATTCCACGGTGACAATTGTCACAAAACCATTGGTATACCTAGCTAGGGCAAGTACTAGTAAACACGTTGCATGTCTTTAAACATAGTGTAATTCCTTATGTACGTTAAGGCCCTTCACGATGACGCTTGCAAAATAAATGTCAAATTTTGTACAGTAGATAATACACACACTGGACAATAGAAGTGCCACCCCTACTGAACCAATACTTTGGGGGAGACTGTGGAATGATATACTCCGGGTATCATTTTATTAACATCAAATTTCACAATAGAAACGGTTCTGACTAAACAATTCAACTGTATCGATATTCTGGCATTGCTTATATTCCGCTTCTTCAGGTTAATAACTTTGATTGCTCTGATTCAGGGGGTGACACTTCTATTGTCCAGTGTGTGTACATATAATATATACATAGTAATGCATAGTAATACAGCAGGTATCATCTTTATCATAAAATAACATTGAGACTCTTAAAGATAAAAAAAATATTTCTATCAAGATAAAACTTACCTCGTTTACACTGCAGTCTAATCGGAATGAAACTTGTCAGCAAGTTTTTTTTTTATTTTTTCACTATCAGTACGTGTCTCGCCGTCTGTTGTGACACACATGGCAGTCTAACTAACCAATTTTGTCGTTCTCATCTGAATATTTACTTTTATTGATACCCCCATTTCTAAGGACCTCTTTAAATGTTTTGATCATGTTTCTCTCAAAGTGAAACACCAATGATTGATTTGGCCTTATGAACATATTTGCAAATTTGCGGTTTTAACATCATCAAGGGAAGAAATGAAAACGAACGACAATTTGTTGATCTAGATGCCCTTATCTGAACTCCCCGTGCGTGTATATAGGTCGCCGAGTGAGTTGAACTAATATCGAGAATTTACATACAGACTACATATCCTGAGCATTTTATCTATTTTAGCATATATGGGGCACCATCGATCAATTTACCTATACAAACTGTATATTGATATTGCCCTCTCAATTGAAAAGGTAATGGATACCAGTATAACGCTTAGGAAAATATGAAACATCCAGTAAGACTAATGGGGATTTAATTTGTTCATAATCCCTCTAATATTGGTTCTAAAAGTGAAGGCAAGCTCTCTGTTATTGTGTACTTGATACGTAATACTCTTTCTATTATCATCATATTATCAATTTGATAACCAAAACTAACATAAACTAACTAACAGAATACAGGGTACGTCTCTTGAGCCTTTATTATTTTTCAATTTTTGGAGAATTATAGATCAAATGTATATTGATATAGCCCCATCACTTGAAATGGCAAATTGATACCAGTATAACGCTAACTCGACCCAGACAGTGAAGGCAAGTTATTTGTTATAATATACACAGTACAACTTAAATTTGGTCATCATTTTATCAAATCCATGGTGTGAAAATGATGAAGGAAAAATTGGATAACGTGTTTTCTTCTCAAATAAGTGCTTATATCCATGATGATCTTTAATGATAATTCCATGTTCGCAGACTGGCGATGTGCGGGATGAAAACATATGCACTGCTCATGATCACAACCAAATTGATTTCTAAATTCCCTGATGAAATCGCACGTTCCTAAACCTTAGGGACCATCCCCACCCTACCGTACTAACTGTGTATCGATCTATCTCCGAGGGGATTCTCGCTAAATTGCAATCAACTTAAGCGCATTAGATGTCTGTCATGTCTACTGAATCTGCTAGTGCGGAATTCCAACTATCGTTTGGCAGCTTCGGTAAGCATGCCAGACATCTTAGCTGCTTAAACTGAAAGCATTTAAGCGAGAAACCCCTCGGATATGGATCAATTTTGTTAGGTCGATGTAGCTATGGGTACAAAATGATGGAGCAATGGCTCAAAATGATGAAAACTCATGTATTTGCTTCTGTAAATTTCACGGTGACAATTTTCACAAAGCTATTGCTGTACCTAGCTAGGGAAATCACAGTAAACAAGTCGCATTCCTTGGATGCGGAACCAATTCATTGAATTATGTTCAATTGGTGATGAGAGTTGTATGTCCTGTGTGACAAGTTTAAACAGAATTTAAGGTAACATGTACGTTAAGGCCCCTCACTACGACGCTTGTAAAGTTAAAATTCAAATTATGTACAGCAGGTAATGCGTACAATATAAACACAGTTATACATATAATACAGCAGTATCAGCTTCATCATTAATTAAAAGTGAGAATCGTAATGATAAAATCAATTTCTGTCAAGATAAAACTTACCTCTTTTACACTGAAGTCTGAGCGGGTAATTAAACTAGAAAATCTGTTTTACTTTATGTACTACCAGTACGCGTCTCATATGAACGATAATGGACGCCAGCATAACGCATTCGGAGAATATGAAACTACCAGCAAGCCTAATGGAAAATGTGTTTGTTTACGACCTGTCCAACTTTGACCCAGGCAATGAAGCCACGCTATCTGTTATTTTGTATTATATACAAAGTGCGTTATAAAATTAGGTCATCATATTTTCAAAACTGCAATGCATATGTTAATTAAACTGACAAGCAAATCAGTAAATCTATTTTACTTTATTCACTACCAGTACG